GCTTTGCGCACTTTCTAAAATCCACATAGTGGTAAGTGTGCACGTTATGCTTTGCCCACTTTTCTGAAATCCTGTATGGTAAGGGTTACACGTTATTAGCCTCGTTCCCTTTCTCTGAGTTGGTTTAGATCCCGGTACTTTGGGTTCCACTCAACTAGTGTGTCTCTGTTGACACACTTTGGAAGCATCGCTCCTCTCACCATTGAGGGTTATTGTGAGCATGGTGCTTTCTTTCGAGCGTTTTAATTCTCTCCCTTCTGAGGAGTTGGATCTGTCGCTCCGTGGGCTGTCCTCGTGGTAGTGTTGAGCAGTGTTCCCCTTTTATCAAAGGGTTACCTATGAGCACGCTACTCCTTTGTGAATTCGGAGTTCTCCTCTCACGTGAGAGTTGAGTTCTCTGTTTTCCCAGAGCACCTGGAACCAGCAGCATCAGGCGAACTATGCCCTTTCTCTGCCTCTCTCATGCACCAAGTTTTTTGGCTAGCTTGCAGTACGCTTACCCTTCTGATTTCTAACGATCGTGCTATAGGTCGAGCCCCCTCTCGTTGAGAGCTGGGTGTTGTGCTCCCTCAGCTAAGGTAAATTACTGCTAGCCGTTCCAGCATTGGAACATGCTGTAGGTCGAGCCCCCCTCTCGATTGAGAACTGGGTGTGTTACTCCCTCAGCTAAGTAACTGCTAGCTGTTCCACCATTGGAACATGCTGTAGGTTGAGCCCCCTCTCGATTGAGAGCTGGGTGTTTGCTCCCTCAGCTAGAGATTTACTGCTAGCCACTCCAGCATTATAACTTACAGCACCAAACATAGTGTTTTGGGATGCACCATTTCCATCTATGGGCTGCTCTTTTAGAGTACCACGAGGGCCCCTTAGAACGCTTCCTTTTAAAAAAAAATCCATATTATGGTAAGTGTGCACGTAAGTATTTGTACACTTTCTAAAATCCACACTGTGGTAAGTTCGTACGCTAGTACCCTGCGTTCTTTTCTAAAATCCTGTATGGTAAGAGCTACGCACGGCAGCCTCATGCTCTTTCTTGATTTAAAGGCACAATATGTAAGATTTTTTTATTAAAATATCCAAAAACCACTAGAACAGTGTTATATATTTTGCTGACTTGTGTACTTACATTATCCCAAATGTTTTGAAAAAATTTTATATCCAGAGAAATAAGCAATTTTAACTAGTGACACGGAGCGTGTCCATAGTGTCATTGTGTCACCTGCCAATGACGTCATAACCCCTCGATTTTTTTTTTTTTTTTTTAGAAAAAATGGAAACACCAAAGACGCTTTAATATGTTGTGCGTTTTATTAGACCGGTGACGACCGCACAAAGTAGCATTATAACAGAACTTTCAAATGTACCTAGTATGATAAAACAGCGCTGCTTTTTTTCCCCACATACGCACGACCGGAAGGAGCAGAAGCGGTCGACTGTGGCATAATAAAAGCTCCGCTGCTTTCGAGCCGTGTGTCACGCTCGTTCAGCGGCCTCGTTTCGCTTCGATGGCTTTCAACCTCACCCTGCTTCATTCTACTATTTGTTTGTCTATTTGTTTATTTTGAATACGCGCCCTCTAGTGGCGAAAATTACATATTGTGCCTCTAAGCAAGTCTTGGAAAGATTTTGCTTTGGCTTGGTAAATCTATAAAATGTGAGAATCAAATGATGTGAGAATGTTGATTAATTACACTAATGTTCAAAATGTAGGGGTCAATACATTTTCTTTAACAAAACTCATAATTTTACTCTGCAAGAATGCATTACATTAATCAAATGTGTTCCAAAAAGTTCTATTTCAAATAAATGCTGTTCTTTCTTTCAAAAATAATGTAGTTTTTAAAATAAAAAATGTTTAGGCCTATATGTTTTGAAAATAATCACAACTGTTTTATATGGAAGCCCGTTTCCGCCACTGAATAAAAAATTTGAAAAAGGTTATTGCGACTTTTTATTTCACAATTCTGACTTTTTTTCTCGGGATTGCATGATACAAATTCGCAATTTTGACTTTTTTTCTCAGAATTGTGAGATATAAACAATTGAGAGAAATAAAGTCAGAATTGTGAGAAAAAAGGAGAGAAAAACTCGCAATTTTGTGAGAAAAACAGAAAAATTGTGAGAAAAATTCAAAATTTCTCGAAGAAATTAAAATTCTGACTTTTTTCTCGCAAATGCAAGTTTGTATCTGCCAATTTTGACTCTTTTTCTTGTAATTCTGACATTTTTTTCTCAGAATTGTGAGATATAAACTCACAATTGCAAGTTCTAAAGTCCTAATTTTGAGGGGGAAAAAGACTGATATGTTCTTAGAATTGCAAGTTTATATCTCACAATTCTGACTTAACTCGTAATTGCATGTTATAAAGTCACAATTGAGAGATATAAACTCACAATTCTGAGAAAAAAAGTCAGAATTGCGAGATGTAAACTTGCAATTGCGAGAAAAAAAGTCCGAATTGTGAGATAAAAAGTTGCAACTACCCTTTTAATTTTTTTCAGTTATTCAGTTATTATTTTGTCTTGTGGAGTATATGTAAACATCTGTTATGTGAAATAGTTTATTCAGGACAGTACTAAATAAAAAATAGCATGCAATTTTCATGATTTTGTTTCAATTAAGATTTTGCACATTCTGCAAGGGGTATGTAAACTTATGAGCACAACTGTATATTAAAATAGAATACTGTCATTAATATTGTGATAATATCGTTACTGTACTATTTTAATCAAATAAATGCAGTCTGGGTGAACGTAAAACTTTCAAAACACTAAAAAATATTACAGATCACAAACCTTTGAACAGTAACGTACACTTTTAATCATGCTATACTGAAATGTATGTAGTTTAAAACAATCAAAAATATATATGCACCCAATATTTTGTGAGCTATGTATTTTTATGCATTTATCCCTTAATTAAGTCAAAGCTCTTGTGCCATTTGTATGATGCATGGTGTTGCTGCCTATGTAGTGCATTTCAATTCAGTAACCTATGATGGTCTATTTCATTTTGAGCCCAGCCTAAGTAGCAGCTAGAACAGCACCAACGAGTTAAAAGTAACAACCTTTCAGAGGTATTTGACAAAAATCAATAGGACTCTAGGGGTGCATAACACAAAATAGGCTGGGAAACACTGCTCTAAAATGTCCTGATATTGTACTGGCCATTCATAACACTGTAAGATATTCAAAAAGATGCTCTAGTGAGAGGCTGTAACCCTGAGCGGAGCGAGGCAGTGGGGCTGCTGGCCGCATGCAGTTAGACGGTGCTTTGACTGCGACTCTAATTAGAGCTGGAGGAGAACACTGACACTTAATGAGGGGTGTAGGAGACATATGCTCACTCACTCGTGCACACACATATAAAGAGCGCAAGAGAATGAGGGAGAATGCAAGTGTATGGAAATTAGCAAGACAGGACACACACTGCGTACAGCGTGGAGAACAAAGTCTTTGAGCCGGAAATTATTCTTTTTTTTTTTCAGTGTTTTGCATAAAAACACAAATGTGATGGAAAAAAGTGGCTCACACCTCCAGCATGAAGAGATGTGTTTGTTTATTTAACTATATTTTTGGTACAAAAATATAAGTAGTAAGCTAAATCTGACAAAACCTCTATTTGGGGATTACTGGGATGTTCTCAGTTGTATTTCTTAATCCTTAAAATGCTAAATAAATCAATTAAAATACACAATAAAAACACTTCCCTTGTCCTTTAGAAATAATGGACAGTCCATATTTATAATTTTTTTTTTAATATTGTTAAAAAAACGACTGAAATCTATGTCCTCATCTTCACTACAATTGAATAAAAATTTTTTAAATGTTTTTTTTTTAAGAAAACATGCTCACTTATTATGTTCACTAACTTTGAATTGACTTGATCAAACATACAGTAACAATATTTTGCAATATTTTGAAATATTATTACAATTTAGAATAAATGTTTTCTATTTTTAATAACTATTTTAATACATATTCAAATGCAATTTATTCCTTTGAGTGCAAAGCTGAAATTTCCTGTCACACGATCCTTCAGAAATCATTTTAATTCGCCAATTTGGTGCTCAAGAAAACTCTTATTATCATCTATGTAGAAAAATGTTAAAACTCTTTTTCTAGAAAACTTGATGCATTGTTTCAAGATTCTTGATGAATTGAAAGTTCAAAAGCACAGCATTTATTTGAAATAGAAATATTTTATAACATTATAAATGTCTTCAAATTATCAATTTAATGCTATCCTGCTGAATAAAAGCATTAATTTCTTTAAAAAAAAAAATCTTACTGTTCTCAAACCTTTGAATGGTAGTGTGAATACTGTAGCTAGGAAAATGTGTACTGATTATTATTTGGGCTCAAATTTTACAACAGCAAACTCAAAGCAGGGTTTCTTTCATGACTGAGCATGGAGCAAGCGAAAAATGGAAATGGAAAAACCTTGAGGCTTTTTACAGCATTCATTTAGTACCTTGGTGTCATTGAGCTGGGCCAATCCCGTGCAGGCGTTCGCCAACAGGAAATCGCCACTCAGAACAGCCATCTTGTTCCCAAACTGCATGTCTTTGAGGGGGCCATCAGAGTTCGTCCACTCCTTAAGATTCACAATCCCACGATGCACCAGGAAGGCCGTGTGAATCAGCTCTGTGATCTCAGCCAAGTTCCTCTGACTGACAAAGAGACAGAAAGAGAGAAATATTGTGATTCTGAGAGGGTATTAGATCTATAAACAGTCCCAGATGCTACAGCACACTTTATACGGAAAGGGAGTGATTTTATCCCAAACGTTCTTCTGCAGAACAAATAAACCAGAGAGAGTGTCAAGTGTCCTGGTGACCATAATGCACTTCACAAAATACCAACTGCCACTGATTATCAGATGAGCCCGATTATCACAACGCTATCACACAGACGTTATAATCAAATGTTGATTTGCCGGGTTCAGGACCATAATCAGCTCGGACCATTGAGGTCTCAGCGATAACCACCTTCCAGACACAAGAGAGAGAAGTTAGCACTGATGACCACTTACCCCTCCTTCAGAGCGAGAGACATGGAAAGAAAAGAGGGTGAGAGACTGAAGAAAAAGCGTCTTTGATGAAGGGATTCTCTTCAGTCTGGCAATGTGAGAGAATAGCTGTGGCCGTTTCTGCTCTCTCACACACACACACAGTCAATGCTTGGGTAATTACAAAGCACTGCAATAATTCTTGTTGTCATTAAATGCTGTTCTGTAATGGACCATCTCCTGGGCTCAATCATCCCTATTGTGCAGAGCTCTCTTGTCCACGCAGCCACCGATCCCGGTCAGTTTCACTTCAGCTGACACAGGTAAAAACAGATCTGAGATGTTGATGTGGCTTACAATGGATGAGGATTACTGGGGAAACTCAAACATACTTTAAAGAAGTGTAATTGTATGAATCTATAATCTCAGGTCAAGAGTTGTAGGGTTTACTTGTCTTTT